TCCTCTCGGAGACTATCCATCACCTCTACTTCCTGGCCACAGAATCTAAGTCTACGGAATCTACTGGAGATAATTCTTTTCACATTCTCCATTGCCTCAGACCAAGGTTTTTGAATATCAGGGTGCTCTCGTAGATCCATCATGCTGTTACACCTCTTCGCAACTGCTTCAGCAGCCTCAGGAATCATTTTCTCCCTATTATAAAAGATACATAGAAATTTAATAGGTATGTCCAACCAAAATTAATAATCTATTCATTGTATATATTAAATTAACCGAAATTTAATACCTTTCAAGAGAACAGTTCTGAAGACCTAAATTAAGAACTGACATAACTCTCTCTGCAGGGTTGGTGAAACGTTGACCAGGAGCACACCGTCCAGCAACGATCATGTCAACATTGGTTTCCAAAAACAGGCATATCAAGGACAGCCTAACAGACTCCAAAGTGTGCCGATGGTCTGTTCCTCCATCAGTGAACAGGAAAATGGACTTTCCTTCAACATTAGGAAGCATCTTGAGGAAAGTGGCTGCATGTCGCCATGGAGAGCTGCTCTCAAAGACACTATCGTTGACTGTAGTAACCACTCTTCCCCGTACAAAAGAACTGTCAATATCTGAAGGGATATCTGCTAGGAGGACAACAGAAGGCGTTAATGATGCTTTGTTCATGTCATGGTCTAGGGCAACTAACTCTGATGAACATGGCGTAATAGTCTTCTTGCCTCTAACACCTGTGGATACACTGTAACCTGAAATAAAAATCAATCCTTAGAAATTCTTATTTTGCTGATAATTTTTTCTCCTTGTTCTTTATAGTATTTGACTTCAACACTACACTGTCTATAGCAAAATAAATACCTGGTTCACCAACAGGAATTTTTGCTTTGTCATTAGCAAATAAGAGAACAGCCCTGTCATTGGTCAGCTCCACTGCAAACTCTCTTAAGTACTTGAACTGTGCTCCAGCATAATGTTGGTCAGGGTGATCTGCTCGGAGCTGTCTACGCTGAATTTTGTACTGTACCTAAATATAAAAGGAAAATTGTTAAAAAAAATGAAAAAATCTGTGAGCCAATACTACTAGTAATAAATACCCCAAATTTGATTTGAATACATGCCCCTTCTGAGCAGGGGTAGAAATACAATCTAATTTAATATAGTTTCACATAGCAATGATAAAACAAATTTCTTTATACTTTGATATTTAAAGGTTTTAAATCAACATATTTACCATTCACATACATGTACCTTGAGTTTTGAGGTGAAACACAGTGCAGTTTTTGAGTATGCATTTTTCGGTGTAAACTGCAATCGCACAAGGGCCTCAGATGGAACTTTTGTACCACTTGGGCATCTCTCCTTACACTGTTCAACCAGGTCTCGCAGCGAAATCCAGGTAGCCAAATGTGACTCGCCATGTCTCCTGTCATCTGCAACGGTTGCTTCCTCCACAATCTATGGAATATTTTATTGAAGTTTCATTTAAAAGACAAATTCATAACAAATGCCTATTTATTGGAATGACATGTTTGTTAGTATTTTTTGTAAAATTTTAGAATTGAAGTACATCACCTGTGACAAATGCTGAAAGAACACATCATATCCATTCCCAGGCCGCCCAGGATTTAAATGGCGTAGATCCTGAAGAAGCTCGTCATTGCCAAGGAATATGAGCTGCATTCTTTCAGCCATAACTGGATTCTGGGAAGCAGACGCGTCTAATGCTAATTCTTTATAGATAAAATCAGCAACGGCTGGTTGTACTGCAAAGAAATAATGTGATTTTTTTTTACACTGACTTAAAATGTTTATATATTCTAAACTAATTTTTAATTTTCTCTCAGTGTTGATGCACTTTCTGACTTACCAGAAGTAATATTGCTCAACCTTTCCTTAAACTCCTTCCTCATGCTTCTAGTGTGATACTCTTTGAACTCCAACCTGATTTCCGGAGTTGCAATGAATCTAGCAGCCTCAGTTAGCATAACAGGAATAGGCCTGTTTGGACTCTCAACTTTAACCAGACAAACTACTGTATGCACACTTCCACCAGGTGAAAACCTATACAAGTCCACTGGAACCTGAAGATGCAATTCTTGCAGAAATCTACAAAAACAACACTGAAATTTAATACCAGTAAATGATATTAAAAAAAAAATACTAAATTTAAAGAAAATATTAAAGTGACAAAACTTATCCTTTAAAATTTTTTTTAAAAGCATGCTTCAAGCTGTATTCTGCAATCATTCTATATTAGCATATTTAATGTTTTAATATTTATTTAACATTAAAATGTTAGAAATTTAAAAACAATATTCTAATTAATACTTACGAATCATTAAAAAACATAAGTAAATAAAACCACAACTAAAATAAAATAAAAAAAAAATTCTTTCATAAATCATTAAAACAACACAATTTCAAAATCAAAATTGTTAGGAAAAAACCCGCTAAATTATATATTTGTGCATTTAAATTGCTGCACAAACCTGTATCGTTTCATATCATTTTTAAATTGTTGATGCAAGTGCTGTTCCTCATTGAAGAAGACATACTTCTCACAATCTTTCACAGCAGAGTTAAGTTGCGAGTATCTAGGGTGAAGATCTGTGCACCTGTGTCGAAACTCAACAGTGGCATCCTTGGACACCTGTCGCACTGGGTGAGAAGAGACATGGTTTGACTGTATTTCCTGGTTTTTTCTAACAAGATAGTCACTGTAACTCTGGAAGCACTCGGCCAAGCACTTAACATTGTCATGGTACTCTTCCCAAGGAGGTGATGATCTCATGACAGGAAGCATAGCAATTTTAAACAGGGCCTTCAATGTTAAATTAAATCTTGTAATATTTCAAGAACCCACAACTATAATACACTCTTTACTTCTTTTTTTTTTTAATATTAAGAAATTAAAAATTTTGAGTGAAGTTCTCTTTGTTTTATCTGATAAAAATAAAAATGTTGTTTATACCTGTGCATGACTGTGCATTTCCGAAGATTTCAGGGGTTTCTTTTTCATTTTTTTTGTATGATAGTCGTCTACGTGTTGATAATCTTAGAATAAAGATGGCAGCGACTGTACGTTTGATTTTGTAGCTGCTTCCCGTAATTTTTCATGGTCATTTGTTATATACCACAGAGCATTGCAAATGACCTATTCATATGTATAAAAGCATAATTTAATAATACAGAATATGGAAACAAACAGCATTCCAGTCTGACATTTTTACATTGTAAATCATGTATTCAGAAATTGCAAATCTGTAACATCGATTTTATATAAACAAGAAGATTTAATAAAAGGTTATAAACATGCACCTGAATAACATAACTCCCGGTACTCTCAGCCTGGTCTTTTGGGAATGACAACTTTCTCTCTTTGTGAAGTTTCAGTAAGTCGTTGTATAGTTTCTGTTTAGCATTACTGCAAAGTCACACAAAAAAAGATTTCTTTAGGTCTTGTCTCTTAACGGCAAAGCTATCAGTCATTTTCACATTTTGAAAACTACATTTTTCGGGCTTTTCATTGGATGAAGACAGGGCTAGGCATAATTATTATTTCTATTTCGTTTGGGCAATCATCTTAATAAATTATTGACGTGTTTTTACAGTTCAAGTTAGTAGATTTTTTGAAAGACTGGCCCAAATGCATACTGTGATCAATTCTTAAATGTACAGCACATACATATAGACAGGGGGGAAAAACAACTACGGGTGTAAAGTGACAGAACTTGGACACAGAACCCTGTCAAAGAACTGTCCTGAATGCCTTTTAAGGCATTTTATGCATAAAACACTAACCTAAGGCCTAAGGGACACATTTTCTCAACAATGAAGTTTAATAGCAGATTAATAATTATTGGCCGAGACCATAGGGCACTTATTTCGAGCCCTGGTATTTATATGGAATCAATACACACAAATACTGCAATTTAATAAAAACAATACTTTTTTTATTCATTTAAAATAAAAACAATTGAAAAAATAAAAATTTATTTATAGCATATTTTATAAAATAATTTTTTTATAGGTATAGATATGTTTTTATTACATATTAAATTAAGTAAGGAAAATACCAACCTTTCGTTTTTCTGTGGAGGAAATGATCGCCCCCCGGCCATTAAGACTTCAAAGGCGTTTACGGCCTTTACCGTTGCCTTTCTACACACATCTACGAGGGGATCATCTTCCTTGTTTTCCTTACATTGGAATGTGAATGATTTTATGTTAAATCTATTGACAATTCCCCCCACAGTCAGCCCAGCAGGGCACTCTATTTCAAACCCTTGTTTGATACCACTACCAGGTTGAAGTTCCGTACTACAGAAAACTGCGAAGTTTCCTCCCTTAGCACCCGGAGGGTGTATTTTATAATAGAGGGACTCCAATGTTGTGGAGTTACGCTCATTAAACATGGTTTTTGTTATCGGTATGATCGCATTTTCCGCAAATGACTGCTATTAGACTGCAGGTTGGTTGGGGACTTTCTTTCGCCGCCATTGCGGCCATGTGCTTTGTATCATTTACACTTCCGGCGAAAAAAAAAACATTCGGACAAAATTAATTCAGACAAAATTGGAAATTAAAAAAAAAATCCACCCGGCTATGAACGAAATGGGTCGGTCGGGTTACAGGAAACAAACAATTTTTTTTTTAGGCCTAAGGAAAATACAAACAGGTATTTGTCTCATTTTTTGAACAGTCAACATCCTTTTCAAAATACAAAATATGAATATATGGAATATGAAAATTAAAAATGAATCAAGATTCCTGATGCACATATTATTGAATTATTCCTGGTGCAAATTTTATTGAATCATTGTATTACATCTTTTGATCTACTCATATTTCCACTTTACATTGTTTCAATCCTTTACAGCTACCACTCCTGTTTGCTTTGAGGTCTAGGAAGAAGAATTGCAAGGTAGTGTTCTGAGTGGAAAAAGAACTCCTTCCTGCTATGTCCATGAGAGAGATGATTAATCCTTGACTACGAGATGGTCATCTCGAAAGCAGCTGATTCCATCTTCCCCACTGCCACAGTACGAGGACGTGCCTTCCACTGGGACAATGCGGTTCGGAGGAAAATCCAGGACCTTGGTTTGCAGTCTCGTTACATGGAGCGGGAGAAGACCTACACCTTCTGCAAGAAGATCATGGCCCTCCCTTACCTTCCCATGACATCATTCCAGGGTTGTTTGATCACCTCCAGGAAGCTGCAACAACAGATGGCTTGGTACAACTTTGCCAGTACATCACCAACAACTGGGTTGGAGATGCAGCCTTGTGGAGCCCCGGACAATGGATTGTGTTTAATCAGGTAGCTTTAATTCTACATATATTTAACTTTACTTTAGATAAGATAACTGGAAACTTTATTATTTTTTACTTTAATCTAAAATACGAAAATATTGAAACATAATTGTATCTGAAATACTAGAAGTTCTTTTTTTAACTTGATCATACAATATATAATCTTTTCTGTAGGCAGTGCGTACCAACAACGACCTGGAATGATGGCAACGCCGGTTAAAACACTCCGCAGGGAAATCCAGCCTTCCCATATATGATGTTCAAACAATATAGTATTTGTCTTTTAACACATTTGCAAGACTTTAGGGTGCTTTATCAGTGTCATTTATTGTAGTCGTTCGAAACTTCAATGGAGAGAGAGAGAGAGACATCGGAAAGGTTTACATTTGATATAAAGTTGAAAAACAAGATGTGTTTGTGAAACACTGCGCCCGGCGGCAACAAATTTAAAAAACATACTTTTAGCATAAAGGTCACAGTGAAGGTCATAAGGTCATTGATCTTGGTGTCATTTAAAAGATCTTGATTAGTGAAGTACGCATACCAAATATGAGTTCTCTATCTTACATGGTTCAAAAGTTATGGTGAAGGTTCAAAAAAGTTATTTTTAGCATATAAGACAGTCAAGGTCACAAGGTCATTGACCTTGGTGTCATGTGAAAGGGCATTATTAGTGGAGTATGCATGCCAAATATGAAGTCTGTCTTCATCTTTCTTCGTTCAAAAGTTATGGCGAAGGTTAAAAGATTGCCGTCAAAAAAAGCTATATTTAGCGTATAGGCCACAGTCAAGGTGACAAGGTCATTGACCATGGTGTCTCTTTAAAAAGCTTGACAAGTGTTGTATGTATACCAAATATGAAGTCTGTATCTTTTATGGTTCAAAAGTTATGGCAAAGGTTAAAGTTTGCAAACTTTAACCTTTGCCATAACTTTTGAACCATAAAAGATACAGACTTCTATTTTTAGCATATAGGTCAAGGTCACTGCAAACTTTAACCTTTGCCATAACTTTTGAACCATAAAAGATAGAGACTTCTATTTTTAGCATATAGGTCAAGGTCACAAGGTCATTGACCTTCGTGTCATTTGAAAGAGCTTCATAAGTGGATTAGGCATACCAAGTATAAAGTCTCTATCATTCATGGTTCAAAAGTTATGGCGAAGGTTAAAGTTTGCAGACAAACAGACAAGAGAAAAACAATATACGCCTCGGATCTTTCGATGCGGGCGCATAAAAAAACAGAAGAATGTTATATTTAATATCTTAAAGAAGAAGGACGTTTTTGCTTTGTTACCAACTGGATTTGGCAAATCCATGACGTATATGTTGGTACCATTGCTTGCTGACGAGGAAGGTCAAAGCACGCGTCTCCCTGATTATTTCTCGGTGTTTTTTTAATTTCGGAGTGGTTAAATAAAAGATTATATAATGGTTTAGCTAATGGGAGGTAGACCAAGCCATATAACAATAGTGATATATCTTTTGAAAGCGTTGATGAGGGACTAAGTTGAATTTCTAGAGCAGCACAACGTGAGTGCAATGGCGTTGATGGATGACACTAAAAATCAAAGTGATTATAATTTTACACATGTGGTGTGTCCATATTAAAACCAGAAGTCTCTGTCGAGACTGAAGCTCTACTGGTCTGTTCTTATACCAATGGAAGGGAAAAGTTCTTAAGCAGTTGGGAATTGAAACTTTACCACAGCAATAAAAAGAATAATGATCCTTGATTAAGTCTCTTTATGTTCTTAGTATAGTCTACCTGCATGCCACTTTATATTACAATCAGACTTAAACTGCAGGAGGAGTAGCATTTTGAAAGAATTTCTCAGAAATTTCTATTTCTAGTAACCATGGCAACACGGTTCATCGAAATCAAAAACCGATATATAGAATTATGTATCTTAGTGTAGTCTACTTGTGTGCCAAGTTATATTGAAATCAGACCAAAACTGTAGGAGGAGTAGCATTTTTAAAGAATTTCATAGAAATTTCTATTTTTAGTAACAACGGCAACACCGTTCATCGAAATCAAAAACCAATACACAGAGTTATGTATCTTAGTGTAGTCTACCTGTGTGCCAAGTTATATTGAAATCAGACCAAAACTGTAGGAGAAGTAGCATTTTGAAAGAATTTCACAGAAATTTCTATTTTTAGCAACAACGGCAACACCGTTCATCGAAATCAAAAATCGATGCACAGAATTATGTATCTTAGTGTGGTCTACTTGTGTGCTAAATTAAATATTGAAATCAGACCAAAAATGTAGAAGGAGTAGTACTTTGAAAGAATTTCACAGAAATTTCTATTTTTAGTAACCACGGCAACACCGTTCAAGGAAATCAAAAACCGATACACAGAATTATGTATCTTAGTGTAGTCTACTTGTGTGCCAAGTTATATTGAAATCAGACCAAAACTGTAGGAGGAGTAGCATTTTGAAAGAATTTCACAGAAATTTCTATTTTTAGTAACAACGGCAACACCGTTAATCGAAATCAAAAACCGATACACAGATTTATGTATCTTAGTGTGGTCTACTTGTGTGCTAAGTTATATTGAAATCAGACCAAAAATGTAGAAGGAGTAGTATTTTGAAAGAATTTCACAGAAATTTCTATTTTTAGTAACCACGGCAACACCGTTAATCGAAATCAAAAACCGATACACAGAATTTTGTTTCTTAGTGTAGTGTACTTGTGTGCCAAGTTATATTGAAATCAGACCAAAACTGTAGGAGGAGTAGCATTTTGAAAGATTGTTTACAGACAGACAGACAGACAGACAGACGGACGGACGACGGACGCATTACTATCGCATAAGCTCTTCTGGTCTCTGACCAGTAGAGCTAAAAATGTTTCCATGGTACTGACTTACCATGTTGAATTGCTGTATTGGGAGGGTAGGAGTCATTGGCAGATGCGTTGGAGTCTGGTGGGGATGTCCCATTTTGTTGGCAAAGTGTTGAAAGGTTGGGTTTTAACATGCGCATCGCCATTGAACGGTCGATACCAGGCCTTCTGTGCTTGCACAATCCGAAGACCTCGGGCACCATTATATTACTAGGTGTATTGAATTTGCTGCACAAGTAAGGGACGTTGACGATTGAAAGTCTCATTTAATTTCATTTAGTGGTAAAATGCTTTCAAAATGCTACTCCTCCTACAGTTTTGGTCCGATTTGAAAATAATTTGGCACAAAAGTAGACTACACTAAGATACACAAGTAGAGCTTTTTAAAAAAGCTTACCGTCTTTAGCAACAACCTTAAGCAGTAAACTGATCTACACCGATCAGGCTGTATTATTCTTTTGAATTTCTTGATTTTGTATTTCTACATGTTCAGACGAGCCATCGAAAACACGTGTGATCAACTCAATCATTTATTAAGAACACAACATACATGACGTCATACACAAGACTACACATAAAGGTCACATGGTACACAAACAGCTGATAATGAATGAATGAATGAATGAAACATCAATCCGAAAAATCTTTCCCTCCCAGCTAAGGAAATATAATGAACTTTAAACAAAATTATCTTTAGACTAGAATATACATTTGACTAGAACATGCATTATCTGAATTATTTAAAAAGTACTTATTTTATACATTGAATACAAACGATTCTACAACTCCACAAATAAACAGCCAATTACTCAAACTTAGAACATTCAAATTTTCTGAAAAACGTATTTGTCTTTAACCAAATGTCATTCAACGTAATCATCAAGTTCTTTGGACGTTGGACGACACGTCCGCTGCGCGTTTGCACTTTCCTGGTTTTGGAGACTGTAGAATTTTAGGAATGTCGCTCGCGATTTTAGCTCCTGTTGTGGTGATTGCGATTCCTTAAGAACAACTGGTGGTGTTTGGTCGGCATCTGGGATAAACGTTTCAGCAGGTATTAGGGGTTTACTGTAGTGGTCAGAGAACGAAAGGTTGTCGGTCTTCTGAAGATGTCGACGGTTCCTGCGGTACCAACCTCTGGGCGTCTCTACGACGTACATTCGCGTTTTTAGATCTCCCTCCTGAACGGTTCCTTGAGTAAGCCATAGTTTGTCCTTGTCCGTCTTGATTCTGACTGAATCTCCTGGCTTAAGTTCCGCCAATGGACGCACATTATGACGTCGGTCATAACCCGATTTATACCGCTCCTTGTATCTTTGATCACGAAGATACACATCGTCATGGTCCATCCACTCTGGGTCTAGCCTTTCTGGTAGCGTAGGAACAGTTGTGCGTAGCTTTCGTCCCATCATGAGTTCCGCTGGGCTTTGACCTGTCGCTTCAATTGGTTTATTGCGGTACGATAGTAATGCCTTAAAAATATCATCCCGACGAAGAATTCTCTTTGAAATCTATACGGCGCTTTCTGCCTCCCCATTGGATTGTGGATAATGAGGACTCGTAAAGGTCTGTCGGAATTTGTAATTTACTGCAAATTCGTGGAAAGCTTCTGAAGTGAACTGTGTACCATTATCAGATACGAGCTCCTCTGGTATTCCCCATCGTGCAAACATGTTTTTCATTTTCCCGATAACCTGCGCACTGGTTATAGACTGTAGGTACGCTATCTCTATGAATCTGGAGAAATAGTCTATGACGACTAAGAAGTGTTTTCCATCTAATTCACACAAGTTTGCACCAACCTTCTGCCATGTCGACTTGGCAACGGGGTATACTTCAATGGTTCTTTCAGTTGCGATGGTCGGTGAGTTTGGCAAAATTCACAAGTGTTAATAAGTTTGCGAATGTCCTGAGTAATACCGGGCCACCAAATGGAATCCTGAGCTGTTGCTCTGCACTTAGCAAGACCAAGGTGTCCATCATGTATGCTCCTTAGAACTTCATTTCTGAGAGTCTTTGGTATTACGATACGATTCCTGTACAAAAGTAGTCCTCTCGACACTGACAGTTCACTGCGTGTAACAAAGTAGTCTCGTAACTCCTTTCTGTAAATCGAATTCATGTGATTCGGCCATCCATGTCGTGTATGGTTGATTGCCTCTTGAAGGATGCTGTCTCCCTCAGTAGCTTGCTGTATCTGCTCTAGTAGTTTGTCTGTCAATGATCTCGAGTTCTCTACAAACTCAACATAGCATTCGACTTCCTCAGCAAGAGTATCGCCCTAATTCGGTTTTCCTAATGGACTTCTTGAGAATGTGTCTGGAACGATAAGGTGTTTTCCAGGAACATGTTCCGCATGTAAGCTGTATCCTCGTAGTCGCATGAGCATGCGC